AGCTTCTGCAAAAAAACAAGCCCACCTGCAAAAGCACAATAGTTGTTTAAAAAAAAACAAACAAACAAACCAAACCAAAAAAACACAAAACACTCAACCAGTGTTACTATGTATGACATGCCTCTGTAGGAATCCTGCTTTATCCCTTTTAGTGACATTTTTCCCCTTACTCATTTATGTTAATTGTGCCCACAGTAAACTGTGGGCTGTGATGTATTGTGCTAAGAACAGTGACCTTAGCAAAGGATAAATCTTAAAGCATATCACTGCTTCTTGCATTACTTCTATGGAAGTAATACACACAGATAAAGAGTATATAAGTAGAATTACTGCATATTTTTTAACGTATTTGGCTATATGCTAATTAATATTAATATGGAAGTAGCTTTATAAAGGTTGAAATATTGCTGATGGGCAACTTGTTTACTTGTACAGAAAGCAAAATAAAGGTCATGCTAGCTGTCAGCGAAGGTGAGCAAAATAGTTTGTAAAGTTAAATCCACTGACAACCCCTTTAAAGTGCTTATTTTTCTACTTAACCTCTAATTTGCTGCTTTGTTCTGTTTTCTAGTCATAAATTGGAGGAAGAATTTGAGTGGCTGAAAAAATCTGAAGTCTTGTATTATACTGTAGAGAAGAAAGGAAATGTCAGTTCGCAGTTTAAACACCATAATCCTTGGAGCATGAAATGTCACCAGCAGCAGTTACAGCGGATGAAGGAAAATGCAAAACACCGGAATCAATATAGTATCCTTTCCTGAAAATACCTCATAACAATGGAATGAGTAGGGCTCTGCTTTTTATTTCTTGAACGTGCCAAATAAATGTACAGAGCAGGCTTAACTGCCATCCAGAGAGACTCTCTGAAGCTTTGATTTATTTGGTGACTTTGAAGGAATTGCCAGCACTTTCCAGAACATGGGCTTTTCCAGCATGCCATAAAGGAGCTAGGCTAGGACTTCAGATAATTTAATTCAGATCTACAAATTGTGGATTAGTTTTAGTGATCAGGTTTTACAGCATACTGTGTTTGGAATCTTCCACAAAAACTATTTACTAATGAAAGTTTTCAAAGAAGAACAGTTCTGTCATTTTCTATTACTGTTTTGATATTGGTGATCTTAAAAACTAGTGTCATCTTACCCTTTTCAGCAACTTTTTAGGTATATAGGATATCCCACTGCCTGGAGTTGTCCTCTAGTAGTCTCTTTGGAGAGAGCCTTTTTGATAAAGAAAGGCTGAATATAAACTGTCATGTAGGATTGGAGCGTGAGAAATGCAAAAACTGACTGAATCAATGAAAGCTGAAGCACACTGCTTTTGTGCTATGGAACCATAGGCAAACATCTCCCCCCTGTGCGTTCTGTGGAAGAAGGATGTTACTGTATGCAGGCTTGGATGCAACAGATACACCCTGCAAAAATATTAATACCTTTATACTTAGGTAAACAAATTCCTCATGTGTGAGGAGTTTGTGAATGGATTACTAGAAAAATCTCTTGACTAATAAACTTCAAAACGATAAAAAGCTTTTCATGGCCAATATCCTCACCACTTCATTGTAGATTATTTTAGATAAGTTACCTAAGTAAAAGTACGCGTTATCTCTGGGACAGTATTACTACAGATGTTCTGAAGTGCTTTTTAACTTGTGTCACAGAGGTGGTGTGAAAATGCCTCACTGTTTTTTGAACGGTGACTAAAGCACCCAAAATCTTAATTTTCTGAAAAAAAAAAAATGCCTCTTGCTAGGCAGGAAATACTTCATAATTCCAAGACAACTGCCGGTTTATATTTCTATAGGACCCTGGTTGCCTTTTTTTCCGCTTACTGTGGAAATTTACCTGTCTTGTCTAGAGACCAGTGAAACTAGAACTAGCTATCCACTCTGCTTTATGCCAACTTCATGTAACTGTTGTTTTTGATAGGCTGCTATATACTGGGCATGCTTAAAGTCAAGACTGTGGCACTATAAAATCTGTGATAATGGTTTTAAAACCTGTATTCCTCATTGTGAGGCTTGTTCCTTAACTAATCAGAATTCATTTTGTTGGAAAACCTAACATCTCGATACGAAGTACCATGTGTGTTGGACCTTAAGATGGGAACCCGACAGCATGGAGATGATGCGTCAGAAGAAAAGAAGGCTAATCAGATTCGCAAGTGTCAGCAGAGTACTTCAGCTGTTATTGGAGTCCGAGTTTGTGGCATGCAGGTGAGAGGAATATTAATTATGTGTAGGGCAACAAACTTGCACTCATTTCTGTTAGTGGGGTTTTTGGCTTATCTAGTCATCCCATGTGTTGCTGTGCTTCATTTCCTTCAGTGAGGGGAATGAGGCTTTTATGTATCACTAGTTGAAGGTGGCAGCATCTGCAGGAGCAACCTGCAGCACATGCTCCACATCAGTGAATGCATTCTTTGAGCATAAAAACAGTCTCCTGCATAATAGCAGGAGTTCAAAACTGTGTAATAAAAATACTGATTTGATTAACCTTTCAGGATAGTGTAGGAGAGGGTTTGCCAGTACATTCATTTTGAAAAAAGCATTTGGAAATTTGCCAGAATATTAGAAGCAATCAGTTCTGTCTTGTAGACTTTTAAAAGCCACAAACCTTTCACTGCTTAACGTAGACTTGTTGCAAAGTGCAGACAAGAAGTGGCTTGGTAAATGTGATAAGTCTCGTGGTCAAATAAGGAGATAGAGTTGTGTGGACTTTCACCTGAGTTTTTTGTTTACTTGTTTCTGTATTCCTACAGTAACAAATGAGGAACAACTTGTTTGTATTTGAGTCTTTTCCGAAGCCTCTCTCCTCCCATCCAGTAGATTCCAGGAATGCCAGCAGTGTTTGCTAGGACTTGTTCCACATCATGATTATTGGCATGTTTGGTGTTCAGCTCACTGTTTAACTTCGGAGAAAAGCACAAGGCAGAAGTGGAATTGTGGGAGCTGCATTTCTAACCACAGTGTGCTGGGATTTGAGCGGGGCCTGCACATGGTTCATTTTCCAGTATGGACCTCTGCTGGAAAACAAGGATGAACTTTGGAGGCACCTGCAGTCCTAACTTGTCCCAGATGTTGAGGCATTATCAAGCTGTGTGGTGTACAGACGACTCTCCTATAGGAAGGAGTCTTCCTACAGGAGCACCTCTGACTTCTTTAAGTACAGAGGATTATGGGGCACACCTTAGTCTTACACAGGAGTGTTTGCAGTTGGTTAGAGCTCAGCATTCTGGGAATCAACTGGTACGCCGTGAGCAGAGGCAGGTAGTGAGCTGAATGAGTGGCTGTGGTACAAGTTGCAGCTTGACTTTCGAGATCTTGGCTGCAGCTTTCCTAATCTCACTTAAACTCCTCATTCTTACTTTCCTGGTGGAAAAGCTCAAATCTAAACTGAAGAAATTTTCCATTTCCTCTGTGTCTCTGAGTTGCACAGACACTGCTGGATCTGTTGTTGTTAGCAGTTTCTGTAACTGTGTGAGAGCAACTTTAAGAGAGTAGTATGTCATCTTGTAAAAGCTTTCTGTAGCATGTCTCTTTTTTTTTTTTTTTTTTTTGTTCTTCAAGGCTGAGTTGGTATTACCAGCAATTTTAACTATTCCTTTTCTCGTCTTGTGTGTGTTTGTATATGCAGGTCTACCAGGCAGGCACTGGCCAGCTGATGTTCATGAATAAATACCACGGAAGAAAACTCTCAGTCCAAGGATTTAAAGAAGCACTTTACCAGTTCTTTCATAACGGCAAATACCTGCGCAGGGAACTCTTTGAATCTGTAATTAAAAAACTGACTGAACTCAAGTCTGTCCTAGAGAAACAGGAGTCTTACCGCTTCTATTCAAGCTCCTTGCTGATCATTTATGATGGAAAGGAAAGACAGGAAGTCGCTGTCGACTCGGACCCAGAGGACTTAGAGGACCTTTCAGAGGAGTCTTCAGATGAGTCAGCAGGAGCATATGCCTACAAACCAACTGCTAGTACTGTGGATGTCCGTATGATAGACTTTGCCCACACAACCTGCAAGTACTATGGAGAAGATAGTGTGGTACATGAGGGCCAAGACACGGGTTATGTTTTTGGACTTCAGAATTTAATAGATATTATTAAAGAAATAAGAGACGAAAGTAGTGAATAAAAAAAGTGAATGCACATCAGTAGAAAGCACTATTGTGACTCTTTGTATTCCAAAATTATTGGCCACTTTCTGGTGGTAGGAATCTTTACAGGCTCTGCAGGGATGGTCCCATCAGAGTCAGACTTGTTCAGAGGGCATTTACTTATATTGGTGCTGGACCTAGCACTGGCAAAACTTGGTATCCTTATTTATTTTAACTTTCTTAAACATTCCATATTTGATTACTCAGATACCTCTGTTATCCCTGTGTGTATATGTTCCAATAAAACTCTTTTTGTTCATTGTAAGTGATGCTTCTGTTGTTGCTAGGGACTGAGGAAGCGATGAAGCTCATATCTTTCTGGTGGTGTAAATGCAGCAGCAGTGTACAAGCAGCAAGGCTCACCTGCCCAGTGAGACCACGTGTGGATTAGCACGTCTGCTGGGTCTCCTGTTAGTTAGGATTGATGAGCAAGTCCGGCAGAGCCACCAGCCTGGCTGGGGCTGCAGCACGGGCCCTAAGAGGAGAGGCCGAGGCAGTAGGGCTCGTGTAGGTGGGGGAAGAGATGGCTCAGAGGGACCAAACAGCAGAAATTTGGATGAGACACTTCCCGAGATCCCTTCTAGCCAGAACAATGTGACTTTGATAAGTGAGAACTTGTCTCCTGAAATCTCCCAACCACCTCTTTCCTGTTTCAGGATATTGTAAACTAGATTTCTTTCTGTGTAACCCATTTCTAGAGAGCTTTTGACGTTTTTTTAATCTAAGCTGAGCCAAAACATGCGTAAGAAACTCCTACAGGATTAGTTGCAGTGGCAGCGACTAGAGGAGAGCTGCAGAGCCTGAAAAGGTATCCTAAGCAGCTTAAAAGCTTACTTGGGACAAACAGACAGGAAGGGAAGTGTCAGAAGGTGAGAGGACAGTGAATAACTGAAATAAGAGTAACTCCAAACCACTTTCTTCTTTTAAAAGGAACATATATTTATCAAACCATTGTTAGATAAATGAATTCTGCTCTTGTGAGTCTTGTAAGTCATTGTGATAGTGCGAAAGAAAACTGGGTGTGGAAGTCCTGAGGTAAGTGTGGGGATGTTGCTTGTTCCAGTTGCCCAGGATAAAGCAGCAAGTTCATGCAGAAATGAAGAGTTTGGGGAGGCGGGTGATGCCAGGATCGTCTCCCCCATCCCTTGGCTTCCCGCAGGTGTGCCAAGGGGAGCAGAGGTGAGATGTGGCTGGAAGGCTGCAGATCCGCTGGTGGAAGGTCACCCTCTTCAATCGGCTATAGTCTTGCAGCTTTAGTTGCAGCTTTAGTTTCATATTCCCCGGCTGTTGCTATCAAGTTCTCCTGATCAAAGTCTCTGATGGCTGTCCTGTGCTCTTTTGTACTTTTTGAAGAGGTTTTTTACCTTTGCTCTTACAACATTAGTTAGTGGTTGCTTTTTTCATTTGTTCCATAGTGTTTGGGCACAAACTGATGTCAGCACTAAACATGTGTGTTCACATCTTGCAGCCACCTCGCTCTTCTATGTCTGCACAGGGGGGATTTTCCCATGAGGTAGGTTTGTCCATCCTGAACTTGCCATTTGTTGCTGCCTCACGAGTCTCGGGTGCTGGGTGCAGCTTTCGAGGGCCCCGTGCGCTGTCCTGGAGCTGCCCTGGCAGTGGCTACGAAAAGCCTCGTGGGGTGGATGGGGCTGTTTTGTTCTTGGCACTTTCGATGGGAGATGCTTCGGGCAGCGGTCAGGGTCCCTGCCTGCTGTCCCCGACCTGTGCCAGGGGTGTGAGTCAGGGCTGGGCACAGGGAGAGGGGCTGCGGCTGCAAGGTGATGTTTCCTTTTCTGTTCTCCTGCTTAGGATGCAATGCCCTCTGCTAATGAGCTAATGACGAGCCTCTTGGCTGGCGCTACCCTACCATCTCCTATCACTGGCACTGCATGTGAATAAGCCTGCCTGTGCAGATTCATCTGATACACCGTTTGACTTTGTAGTCTGAAATTAGCAGGGATAAAGTCCTCTAATGTATTTGTGTTACGTAGGAACTCTGGAGGGAATTCATAAAATCCGATGAGAACAATCGCATTTGCTTTGATGCAAGCTGCCTCCAGAACAAGTCCTCTTTGTTTTGCTGCCTGCAGACGGGGCACTGGGTACAGGCAGGGAGCTGCCCTCTTAAAAATGCTGCCAGCAGTGTAAGCTTGGGTCTAGACCTCCTCTCAGCCCAGTTTGGTGTCAGCAGCCAGACTTGGAGCAGTGGAGGGTGCATATATAATAATAATAAAACTCCAGGTGGAACTGGTGCTGCAGTAGGATGGCAGGGGGCCAAACCTGGCCCTCCCAGACCCTGGCCAATGCTGCTAAAATCCTTTTGCCAATATTGTCTGAGGATTAGCAGAGGCTGTGCCAGTGTTGCAAAGCAACAAGAAAGTGGTTGGGAGCTTCCTGGGCCTGCAGCAGTGAAGGGGGAGGCAGGGACAGAGATGACATTCTTTATTAGTTGCTTTAACAGCTGAGAAAGCAGAATCTCAGGAGGAAAAATCCTCACCTGCACCTTGATCTAAACCCCAGGCATCTTGGCCCAAACCATGATCTCAGGGGTAAAGGAGGGGGTGACCCATATGGCAAGTCCCTCGAATGACATATCTTTCAAAGTTCAAGAACAGGTTTGTTTTGCTTCCATGCTGTTCTGCACAAATCTCTCCAAGCAGTTCCTTGTGCTTGTGGAAAGGCAATTGTGTAACTGCCAGCCTGGGACTTGCTGGGGTGGGAGTGGGGCTCCCGCAGCCCCGGCCTGCAACTGGCCATGCTGCCTGTCACCCCGGCGCTTGGGCTTTCGGAGGACAGGACTGGGCTGAGCAGGTTATGGGTCTGGGAGGGTGTCTGTGGTTGCTGAGGGGCGTGGGAGTCACCTGCCTGTCCGGGCATGGCAAAGGATGGAATGATGGAATAACAGGAGAACAGTAGCTGGGCTGGGGACAAGACTCGAGGGCTTTTCTGTTCTTGTTTTTCTTCCAGCGGAGCCGGGCTGCTGCTGGTAGGTGGCACCAAGCTGACCTTGGAGGCAGATGCTCTGGAGATGTCCCTTCTGGCCAGGGCTGGAAGCAGCCCACCCTCCGTGCCCCTGTGAGAGAAAACATCCAGCAAGTTCTGGCGTGTGTGAACTGTGGGAAGCCGTGCTTCTGCCTCTGCGGAAAGCGCTTCCCCTTCTGGGGATGAATTCTGCCCTCACTGTGCGTGCTCTGAGCATGGCTCCCCGCAGCTCTGGTCCTCCCTGGGCAGTAAGCTCCCTGCTAGCACTGGCCGTGCTGGCAGGAACAGGGGCAAGGGACAACCAGGCTGGCTCCTCAGTCTGTCTCGGGGAGCACTGAGCCCCCGCAGAGGCACCACTGCAGCCGGGACGGGAGCTGGGGCAGCCTGTGCCCCGGCAGCGACACCCCGCTCTGCCTCCGCTCCGTGGAAGACAATGCTGAGCCCACGTCCCTGTTCCCTGTGGCTCCCCTGTGTCTGGTCTCCTCCCTGGCCGCTTCCTGATGCTCGGAGAGGACCCACCTTTTCCTGCCGGCCCGGCCCCAGCCAGGCCAGTGCCCAGGGCGGTTGCACTGTGCTGGGCCTGGCCCTGTGCCGGGGGCTTTGCAGGGACTGGGGCAGCAGCCCACAGCCCTGCTTCCCCACAGCCTCCCCTGTACCACCCCATGCTGGCTCCGGGCCGACGGGGAGCTCACCTCCTGTAAATAGGTCACTTCCAGCCCAAAACTGGGGTGGCTGGCAGGAATCGTCACGGGTCAGCTGGCCAGAGATAAAACACATTCTTGCGGTGGCGCCAGCTTCTCCTGTGAATTGAGCTCTGCTTTGAGAGCTGGGGACCGAGATGGGGGGCTGAGCAGGGCTCTGTGGACCTGCCAGGGCAGGTTGGTAGGTGGCCCTACCTGGCGCTGGGGCTGGGCAGGGCAGGAGCAAGAAGAAGCAAGGGACAGCCCATGGCCCCCTCGGTGGAGAGGACACCTCCATCTGCATGCTGTCCCCATCCTGTGCTTCTGCCTCTTGAGTAGCCATTGACTTCCTCCCCCGAGCTGGGTCCCTGACAGCGGGGAGGGACACACAAATGGCTTTTATGGAACAAGAGCAAAATATTTCCCTGTGGCCAGGCAGCCGCATCCCTGTAGGGCAGCGGCCTGGTGTCACCTGCCCGAGGGAAAGCGGTGCACCCTGCTCACCCCATGGCCCCGGGGCTGCAAAGTGCTTGGGCACCAGCAAGACACAAGGCACGTCCTGCTGGGGACACGGGGCTCCCAGTGTGCAGGGGCAGAGGGACCTGCCCCAAGGACCACAGGTATGCCTGGGTGAGCAACTGTGCCTTTGCCCGTTTCTAGTGGTGATAGAATCAAGTTTGTGTAACTGGACACTAATAAAACTGGTTTCTATGGTGATGCCGTAACAGGGCTGGGGGTGGGCATCTGTCCATCCCACGCATGGATCCCTCCTTGGCACAGGGTGCCGAGGGTCCCGTGCTGCCACTTGGCTATCTGCAGCGGTGCCCCAGCCTGGGGCCACACAGGGCACTGGGAATGGCTTGTGTCCCCAGCTGGGAGCTGCTGGGGTCGAAGCTGCCCTCATTGAATCATATAGAAATGAGGGCTGGCTAAGGGGCCTCCCGCAGCCACCTCTCACCCAGCCTTCACTTGCAGCCCGTGACTCAGCTGCCTGGGTGAGGGCAGAGCAAACCCCATTGGGGTACCCGGAGCCAGCACCCACCATGTTAAGCACCCCGCTCCTCCAGCGGGGATCCCTGTCCTGGCACCCCTCACCTGCCTGCCCAGGGCTCCCGCTCAGGCGAGGGGTGCGAGCAGGGACACAGCCCCTGCCCCCCCCTCCATGAACGGTGTGGGAAGAAAAGGGTGACACTGGCAGACAGCCTCATGCTGGGCTGCCAGTTCTGGATGAGGCCATAGGCTCTGTCCTCTTTTCTTTCTTGGGTTTGCACCGTAACAATGCCTCCATCGGCCGAGCCATGACAGGTGGCGCTGGCTCCCCAGGGTCTTTTCAGTCTCTCTTTGAGAGGGAAGCAGGAGAGCTTCTCCAGCCCACAGGGCCAGGATCTGCCGCTGCACCCCAGGCAACCCCTGGCTTCGCAGCTCTTCCCCAGCTGACACGTGTGCAACGGGGAAAGGATGTGAGAAAGGTGATGTCGGGCAATGCAGCATTGGCTTGGTTAGAGCCATGAACCTGGGAGCGTGTCTCCTTCGCCCTGGCAGCCCTGCGGCAGGGGCAGGGAGGATGGCATGGGGAGCCCGGGGCACGGTGCTGCACATTGAAGTGCACCCTGCACTCCCGCTACCGAGCACCTTGCCCCAGGTTCCCCCGCCCTCTTCCCTCACCATGCAAATGCCTTCTGCCTGCACCCAGGTTTTACCCCACAGGCAAGGTGAGGCAAGGAGCCTGGCAGCTGAGCCGATGGTAGAAAAAGCGGTATTCCCCTGAAACGGCTGTTCCCGCAGCACGGCGTCGCAGCCTGCAGAGCTGCCCTGGCAGGGGAGAGCCGGGAAGGGGCCGTGCCGGCAGGCAGAGTGCGTGGGCCAGCAAGGGGCTCATCAGGTCAGGATGCGAGCGGAGAGCTTAATAAAGAACAGGGCGCTGCTGCGCCAAGCCAAAGAGCTTGTTTTCTCAAAGCAGAGCCGCAGGACGGGCCAGGCTGTGTGCTGCTCGCCTCACAACCTGCAACGCCTCAATCCTTCCCGCAGCATCCCCCCGGTCCCCCCGCCACCATCCCTCAACTCTCCCGACCTTCTGTCTTCTTCCTTTCCTGGAAGTACAGCTGTTGGCAGCGACGAGGCCGCTCCTTCCTCCCGGCCGCAGGAGGGGCCTGGGCCCCCCGCCAGCCCCGCTGTGGGCTTTGTGCAGGACGGGTTGCGCAAGAAGCCCTGCGGACACCCCGTCCCCGCGTGTAGGCAGAGCAGAGCAGGTCTCCGAGCCACCCACCGCCCCGACGGCTTTGCATGGGGCTCTGCGGGGGGGGCGGCCGCTGGCAGAGCAGCCCCTCGCTGATGTTTTTGGGCTCAGTGCGGAGCACCGTGTCCCCAGCCAGAGGCAGCAGCAGGGTTTGCTCCTGCCTGGCAGAGTGCCCTTCCGTGCTGGTTTGGGGGCTTCTCCCATAAAGGAGCAGATGCAGTTGGAGGGGTGAGACCTGTGCAGGCTGGATGTGGGGGTGCGCTCCCGGCCGCTAGCCCCTCTGGCTTGCTCAGGGCCGTACACGCAGCACAGGGCGCAGAGCTGCCCAAACCTGTCCCCGCGGCCCGTGTGCGAGCCCAGCTCCGCATCTCCCACGGGAGCAGGGCCTGCGGGCCAGCCGCCACGGCGCAGCCGCCCGACCCCGGGCAGTGCCCAGCTGCCACGTGTGCCGCGGTGCGAGATGGCCCGGCCGTGGGCGAGCAGGCAGAGCGCAGCCCTGTGCCACTGGCCCACGGCAGCCTGGGCAGCTCTCCCACCTGCAAACCTCCTTCCTGAGAGGAGGAGGCCGGAGCAGCTTCCAGCAGAGCTGCTGGCAGCGTCCCTGGAGCAGGCGAGGGCTTGTGGCACTGCTTTTGGAGGGGCTGGGGCTGCTCCAACCCTGCCCGTTCTGCCGTGAGATTGCAGGAGTGAGACAGGGCTGTAACACAGCCTGTAACTGCCGTGAGGCAGGCGGGGCACTGTCCCCTCCTGAGGTGGCCCTGCTCCACTCTGCAGGGTGACAGGGCTGATGCTGGTGGGGGGTGGACCTCGAGGCATCCAGTTCAGGGGGTCCCATCTACAGACTTTTAATTCAGCTTTCCAGGAGGGAGGGCTGCCAGGACAGCAGGATATAGGGGTATGGCTGAGAGACATCCCAGTGCTTCCCTGTTCCGCTCATGGACACCCACAGGCCCCACAGGATGCGCTGACGGCGCTGTCCCCGGAGCTACGGGGCTGGGGTTCCGCAGCACCTCCCACCCTGTATGACTTTTCGCCCAGAGAGCGCTGGCGAGAGTACAATAATATTTGTATACCTAAAAGTAGAACGATTGATCCCGCTGCTATTTTGCAATGTGTTGACGACCAGGCGGTGCAGAATTATATAAGTGTACATGGAGCTGGCAAGTTTGTGTTTAAATCATATGAGTGCTGTTGTGCAATGCTTCCCCTCCACAGCCCTGGAGGAAAGCGGGTGCGTGGGGGCTGCCAATGCTTCAGCAGAGGCTGACGTGCACACACCAAGCCCTTCAAGGGCTCATGGCGATCCTGGTCCCCACAGCTCTGAGGGCAAGGGATGCAAGCGTTATTATCTGAGGTCTCAAGTTCGCCTTTAAAAGTCACCCGCAAATGACGCAGCGGGATCCTTGCTCGTTGCCCCTCCCTGTCCAAGATAAATCACCCAGTGCTTGTAATTTGGAGCCAATTCCTCAGGAGCAGGAATGCATCCTGGGCTCCTAACTCCTTCAGAGACTCTTTGCCCCCAGTGCATCGTACCTGGGTGCAAGAGGGTTTGCAGAAGCCCTTTCAGGGGAAATCCAGGCCCCTTCCCATCTGCCGGCTGGCAGAGCCGGCACCCTGCGCCAAGCAGAGGACAAGGTCGGGGTGCTGCTGCCGTGTGTGGGGGAAGTGGGTGCCTGCACCCCCCTCAGCTGCCTTTGCCTGCCGGCACAGCCTGCGCTGCCGACTTCACGGAAATAAAGCACCGTTATCCAGCGCAAACAGGAGCCGGGCTCACACCAGGGAGTGGCTGGAGCTCACCTGGAGCGGGGACACGGCTGTGAGTGGACCCCGAGGCAGGGATAACACTGCAGCTGCACCAAAGGCTGGGGGGGATCCAGGTAATACCAAGACTAATAATCCCACAAGCAGGAAGGTTTGCCCTCCTGCGGTGCTGCTCCCCAGCTGCCCACCCTTTGCCCTCTGTCACGCCGTGCCCTGCTGGGCATCTGGAAAGGACCATGACCAGGCATGAAACCCAGACCCCGAAAGGCTCCTGAAGGATTCAGCACCAGTTGCACCTCACAGTTCCCGTTCAAAGCGCCCCATGGCCTTTCCAGCCCAAATGTGCCCGTCTTCAGCTCCCCGTGGCGATTCCCGGTACTGCTGCAGCGGGGGAGCCAAGGCAACCACTCACTCCCGGTCCCTCCTCCATCCTTGCCACCGTAACCAGGCTCAGCCAGAATTACCTCACCAGCAGCGCTGGGAAAACTGGGCAGCTGCAGGGGCCGTGCTGGGAACAGACAAGGGACCATGGGCAGCCGCAAGCCTGGCTTTTGTTGTAAAACCACTGGCTGGATTTGATTGTTGATGGTTTCTGGATGAATTAAACCCCGCTGTCGCTGGAAGTGGGGTCCTGCAGACTGCTTCATCTCTGCATCCCTCCATCCCTGCGTCCCAGCGAGCTGGCAGGGGCGGGCAGGATGGGTGTGGGGTGTCTCTGTGGTGGGGTCTGCAGGAGCGTGTGTACCAAACCCACTTGGACACTGTAACCAGACCCCCTCTCGCTGCTGTCAGTCCTGCGGTGATGGCTTTGCCGGGTGGAAAATTATTCTTCTCCCTCGGGGAGCACGGAGAAAGCCCTGGCTGGGGAAGGGGGGCAATGGGCTGTGGGTCTGCCACCCACCTCCCCAGGGCAACAGGAGGGGCTCAGACCCCCCGGCCGGGGCAGCAGCGGCCTGAGAGAAGCTGCTGATGCCTCGGGGGCGGGGGGCTCGCAGGGGTCTTGGGGTGGTGGCCCAAAGGGTTGTTGTCTTGGAACGGGGCGTCAAGACACAGAGCTGGACAGGGCTGGGGGCGGCTGTGCCCTCTCCGAGCGCTCCTGGCCTGACGGGCAGCGCACCCGTGTCCCCACGGCCACACGCCAGGTCACCGTGTCCGCCGTGGGGCAGAGCGTGGGTCAGGAGCCTCCTCTGGCCGTGCCCTATTTCCACGCCGGGCGTTGCGGGGGGAGCAGGGCACGGCCGTGCTCTGCAGGAGGAAGGGGCGGCGGGGAGCAGAGCTTGGCGCCCGGGGTGGGGGCTCGCCGGCCCACGGGGCCCTTGGGGACTTAATGGCCCTATTTGGTGAAATATGGGACCGCCAGAGGAGGGGGCTTCTCGGGGGGGTCCCGGCTGGGCTGGGAGGAGTTTGGGGGGGCGGGAGAGACGCGCTTGCGTCCGGTGGGAGCAGCGACCCCCTGGAGGCAGCAGCGGCCCCGGCAACGGCGTGGGGGTGGCGGGACACCGGGGCCCGGGACACCGGCCCCCCCCGCCCCCCCCGGGGGTCCGTCCGCGGCGGGCGGGGGGGGGGGCGGGGGGGGGGGGGGGGGGGGGGGCGCGGCCTGCGCACGACTCGGCCGTGCGCGAGCCGCTGGTGCCCCCTGCCGCGCGGCAGCCCGCGCGCCCG